GTCTCTACAAGAGAGTCTTCAGAAAAATTAGTCGGGCATGATGGTACACCCCTGTAGTCCTAAGCTACTTGGAAGGTTGAGGCAGGAGCATCACTTGAGCCCAGGAGTTCGAGGCTGTCGTGAGCTATGATGTGCCACCGCACTCCAGCTTGGGTGACAGAGAGTCTGTCTCGTAACTAAGTAAAATTAAGTAAGTAAGGAAGTAAAGTCAAGTCAAGTAGGTAAATAAATAAATAAATAAAAAATAAATAAAAGTTGCTTTGATGAGAATATTACCAACCACTGGTGTTCTCAGTGGTAGAAGAAAGAAGATTGTGCTGTTTCATGTAAGTGGTCCTTTTGGGGTTGAGCTTTGCTTACTTGCCAGTCTGCTGATTCAGTTGCAATATTCTGTTGTGCCTTCGATGTCCACTTATTTTTGGCTTGAAAATTTAAAAATAACAGAAAGTACCACATCTATATTATCTCTCATTGACCTCCCTAGTTCTAGACAAGTTCCATACTTTTCTTTCTTTTTCTCTTTGGTCGTTGATGTTGTTATTCCTTCCTTCTCAAAATCTTTCTTCTCCCTCGTTTTCTGGGAATACCACACTCTAGTGATTTTCCTCCTGCCACAGAAATGCCTTCATTATCTCTTCGGCTGGTATGTCTTTGTCCTTAGGTCCCTTATGAGATGCAGCTTACCGCCCCATCTTCTCTATGCATGCCCCTTTGGGATATCTTACCTTTTCCTATGATTAATCTATTCTAGTGCATCTAAGATCTCCTGTTCTGAGTTCTCCATTAAGCCTTGTCTCTTATTTCAGCTACCTCTGGGGTATTTTCATCATCCTTTTTGACTTACCGTAGCCCAAACTGAACTTAATCCCTTTTCTTCCATTCCCCTTCCATCTGGCCTTCTCCATGTCTTTCAGACACTACCATTCTTTCCCCTTTGGGTTTAAAATCTGAAGCTGTCATTTTCTCTTTTTCTTTTGTTTCTTCTATTCAGTTGCTGTTCGGGTCCTTTATATTTCCTTAGGATATCTCCCTTCCTTTTGGTATTTTTGATACCACTTTAGTCTAGGTCCTTGTTGGGGTCACATGGTACCTTTATAGCATTCTGTAGTGAAAACTGCTGGTCAGGATGACAAGGTTTAACAACTGGGCAGCCACCCTGTCTGTCACCAGAGCCATGTCTCAGAGCCCTATTAAATGAATCTCTACGTTCCGGAGTTTGATTTTGCTCTTATAGTATACCTCTTGGGATGCTTCAGAAAAGCGTATACAGTGCTTATTGCGTATACAGTGTCGTCTCTGCTCCTTTTTCAATTTCAGCTTTTCCTTGTTGTGAGTACATGAGAGTGCTTCCCCTGCCCCTGTGCTGAATCCTGGTTTTTATAACTTTGTGATACCTTGGAATTGCTTAAGATTTGCTGCCTTCGTGCTCTGTCTGAATAGTTCCTTATTCTCCTCCTTACACAGTGCTGCCTTACTAATCTTCCAATTGGAAAGCAAACCACAAAGCACCTGATGTTGCAGATTTTCTTGTAATAAATTTCTGTGTTAATCACTGAATATGTGTGTTTTTTTAATCCCTTTTGTATTTTGAATTTCTTTTCCATAGTGTTTTTTTCCCAAAAATTCTTCCCCAATGACCTGAATGCTCCGATAGCATTTGTAGAGGATATTATTTTGTATGTTTGGTTACATGGTTAAAGAAATGTGGGAAAATTTTGTTGATGAGAGAAGAAAGATGATGAATTATAAGTTGTACTATCTCTTGCTGCTTCAGAAGTGAAAAGATGGCGAATTATTTCAGCGAATATGGCATTCTAGGGTGTTTCATTTCAGTTATCTTTTCATCAGAGATAAATTTAAAGAACAGTTTGCTGAACATATTCCAAGATTTAAAATAAGGTCTTTAGGTTTCTTTGGAATAAAATGAAAACAGCATTCTCAGGCCAGTAGAAAAATTGAAGCTATTACTAGATTTGGGATGAAGTGGGCACAAGCGTAGAAGTGTCAATTTTTCTGAATCACAATATGATACTGTGTTGGTTTACTTTTTCTTTTATCTTTCGGCATTCTAGAGGGGTGTTTGATGCTTCCCTCAAAATGGCTGGCTTCTATGGATTGTACACCTGGCTCACTCATACTATATTTGGCATCAATATTGTCTTCATACCATCAGGTAACAACCATATCATAGCCTCCACTGTCTTCTATTTAAGGAAAGTTAAGCCATTTTACATACATTAGGAAATGGTCTGTTTCCTTGTTTAAAATACTAAATCTTTTGGCTCAAGATCTAATCTAGTCCCGATTAGGAGCAGAAATATGATTTGTAATGCGTTTATTTATTACCGTACCCCCAGTAGCAGGGTTCATACCCAGCACATAGAAAACACTGCGTAAGCATTTGTTAATGAATGAATGTCTTAGCACTTAGCATAACAGCTAGGTAGGTGCTCAATAAATGTTTGCATTGAACTGATTGGCAGGGAGCAGTGCCCATATAATATACCCATGAGGGAGACCATCCCAGGACAAAGATGAACGCTTCTGAGCGCACATAAGCTGTCTCCAGATCTGTTCTGTTGATACCCTCATTCCATAAGCACCACGTGGTTTAATATCCATCTCGTTCTCTTTCCTCTACATTACCTCTGTTCCTCTCCTTCCACTTTTTCTTCCTTTATTTCTGTGGCCGCTTATTTTCCTAAATATCTCTGCCTTCCACATTTGCCTCTAACACCATTTCCACTCCCCCGCTTTCATCTATGCTTCCTTCCTTACATTCCCAAGTTCATTCATGTTCTTTCCTACTGTGGTATCCACTAACCCGCCTGCTGACATGCAAGCACCCTGTGAGGCAGGCAGGGTAGGCGGTGTTCTTGTTTTATAGATGAAAAACCAAAGTTTTCCAAGGTCACACACCTGGCTGATGGTAGGACCAGAACTAGAACCCAGGTCTGCTTGACTTACAGTCTGGAGAGAAGCCAGAT